AAATAAAATGCTGGTCTTCCTCCCTCCCCTTCCCCCCCCCCCATTGCAAGTAGAAGCCAAGTGAGCAAGCAAAGTTTTAGGGTTTGGGTTTGCATTGGGGAAACCTTTGGCGGTGCCAAGATGCACCTTTCCGGGTTTCACGGCACGCTTCGCGACCGCCGTTCTGTGAATCCGGAAGGCTCTGGCGCCCTTTTGGACCAGTTGGTACTGGAGAAGAGGAGCAGACGGCAGCCATCCAAGCGGTGGCTGTGGAGATGGGTTGAACCAGGTATTCGGGACTACAACTCCCAGCATCCTCTCTTGCAACCTGGTGGGGAGAGGGAGGCCCCCCCGCGTGGCCCCTTTCACAAGAGGTGTGTCGCTGCTCCCTAAGACACTCAAGATTTCCATCTCTTACGCCATGCAAAAAAACAAGGAAAATTCCTTTCAGGTCACGGATTAAACACAACTTTTGTCTTATTTATTTGCGAAACCGGTAACTTCTGGCCTGGACACTGACGGTGCCCCCACGCCCCACTGCAAGCAACACGCAGAAGCGGGAAGAGCTACAAAAGGGGCCACGACTCGGAACGACAAACCCACCACCTCCGGATCGCCTGGACCGGTTTTGCCCCGGACGCTAAAGTTGCTTCAAACCGGGCAGGCGGCCTCTCTTGCCCGCTGCACGCAGGGAACTACCGGCCCTCGGATTTCTGCAAGGGGGGGGGGAAACCCCTTCGTTTAATTTATATTTATTTTTAAAATCTCTTTTATTATCTTGATTGCGGAGGTGGGCATGCTGCTGCCCGCCTCGTCTGCGTTTGGATCCGTAAAGCTGCCAGGTTGGGCCTCTGGCTTAGAAAAACTCCTGGAAGGTTGTGCCTGGACGGCCAGGCCTGGGCAGGGTGGCCCAGCCGCTGCCAGGGGAAAGGAGCATGGGTCCCCAGACTCACCTCTGCGATGCCAGTCCTGGAAAGGGGCACCTCGAGGGCGGAGAGCCTGGCTCCAGCGTGACGCCACGAGGCCGAGGGGTCTTCCCCGGTGCCGATACGAGGCCAGCCTGTCCCTCTGGTTTCCAAAAAGCCCGCTCGAACCCACAATCAAATGTGGCACAGGCTCCTACGCGTGCGTTACACGCTCACTTTGTCCTCCTGGCAAATTTAAAAAAAACAAAAAAACACGGCTCCAACAATGTGGCACAGCCGTGCAAGCGAGCGAGCGAGCGAGCGGACGCATCCCAGGGAGCAGAGAAGCTGATTGCCGCGTGGCTATTGATCTGCCTCTCTCCGTTATTCCACCCCCAGCCCCTTCCAGCGGATCAATGCAGCCCCAATCAATAAGCTGGGCGGGAGATTCGCCCATGTGGCACACACTGCAACATGGGCTCCGTCTCTCTCTCTCTCTCTCTCTTGCACATGCAAGCACACTTTTGCGTGGAGAAAGCAGGAGGGCCGCTGTGCACAACGACGCTGGTTGGTTTTTGGCTTTTTAAACTTTTATGTTAGCCCAGCACATGCCGGCAAACCCCCTCAGGTGGGAAGCTGAGGGGCCTTCCCTCAACGAAAAGACCTTTAATGCCCTCACAACAGCCCTGCTAGGGAGGCCAGGGCAGAGAGAAAAATAACTGCTCACTCAGGCCTTGTCATCAGGTCTAATCCGAATTTAACACCCGCTTGTCTAAACAGGAGAGGAACAGGCTCAGCCAGCCCCAGAGCAAAAGCTTTGGCGCCTTTCCCGTCCTCCCCTTTATTTTCTCTTCCCCTCAAACCCTGATTCCTGGCTTGCTATCAGCAAACGCCAATGGACGCCGCCAGGAAAGTGCAAAAAGAGAAGAGACCGGAAAGGGCTTCGTCGGAGCCGCTGCAACCCACCAGGGATTCCCCAACGTTTCCTCACTGGGATCAGCCAGAGGGCAGGAGATCGAAGTGGTGGGGTGGGATCCCAAGGCAGGATCAGTTGGTCCCTGAGCCCCATAGTTTTGGGGAGCCTCTTGGCCAAAGATTGGTGGGGACGGGGGGGGGGGTCAGAAGAGAGAAAGAGGCGGCTTCGGTCCTCCGTCTTCTCCTTCCTTCCTTCCTTCCTTCCTTGCAGTCCTATTGATTTTTTCAAAGCCATTTCGAGTAAATCTACCCACCGACTCGGCCCCAAGGAGCTTAAAAGACTTGACAGATTTTATTCAACCCCTCAATCTATTTTAAAACGTGTCGGTCTCTGCGCCAGAAAACGGCCAGAGATCTGCCGAAGGGCTGCGGACAGCCGCGGACCGGAGATTTCAGTCCCAGCGATATCTCAAAAGTCATTTCTTGGAGGGGGGGGGGGAAGAACGCACCGCCGGCTGCCAAACGGGCCTTTTTTTCCTCCTTTTATCTCCTTGAAACTCGCTTGAAACTGCAGCCTCCTCCGATGGACGTAACGAGAAAAGCGCGTATATATATTATAATTTATAGAGTATATAAACAACAGATAACCTATAGGATATGGGAAATAATTGCCACCTAATATTAATTATGAGATACCTAACTGGCTATCAAATGTATTGAAGGAAAATTTAAATCAGTTCTACCATAGAAAGTGTTGTGACGTTTATTCGTATGACTTTTTGTCTTTCAATTTTGTATATTTGCATATTTTAACTTTTGGTATTTCATAGGTTTTTTTAATAATTATTTTTTAAAAAAAACAACAACCCTGCGGCCTCCTTTCTGCAAGGCAAAATATATATCCTGCAAGCATGTATGTGTGTATATGTGCGTGTGTGTATAGAAAAAGAGAATATATATATATATTTTCTCTGTTTCCGCCTCACCAGCATCTTGGGAGGTTTCACTGAAGAGCAGAGACAAGTTTTAAACAATGCCACGTTTGTTCTTTGGTTGGCTGAGGCTTATTTCCAGACGAAACGCCAACCCTTCGGGCTTTGGGGTGCTGGGTGTGAAATTTGCCTTTGGAGGTACAAAACCACTCGGAGAACCTTCACGCTTCTGGCCCCTGAGCCAGCCCCCTCCAATGCATGATTAGCCCCCCTGGATCATCCAGCAAGGAAGGGGCGACCCACCTGAGCAAGGAAAGGCACCCCCCTTCCCCAATAAATAAATCTCGCATCCGGTTTGGCCTTCCCAGTGTGGGGGGGGGGAGAGAGTGGATCGAACATGTTTCCCCCCTCTCCCCTCCCCCCCCCAGCCCAGAACATTGGAAGCCCCCAACTCGCTGCCTTCGTTCTCCTCTCGCCGGTTGCCATAGCGGCCACGCAATTCTGGCAGTATTGATGTTCCCCATTGATCTGTGCGGTGGTGCGGTGTCTGGACATGAGGCAGGGCCATTGTGCCGGAGAAGCTGACAGACACCGATCAATGCGCCCTGCCATTTTCCAGCCCCGGCCCACCCCGTCTGCAGGGCGGCCAGCCTTTCAGGGAGGCGGCGCATGGCTGATCCCCACCGGGTATGGGGGAAATGGGGGCAAGGGGGGGGGCAGAAGGCCGAGGGGGGGGCTTCTCACTTAAAGCAGCAGTTATGGAGTTGCCCCCCCCCCCCCCCCACCCCACCCCCGGCCCTTCTTCCCCCCCCCCCCCCAATGCCATCCTCCTAAGAGACCGAAGGGAGGTGGCTGGCCCCTTTGCCAGGTGGAAGAGCAGGAGGCGTGGCCATGCAGATGAAGGGGTGGGGCCATGCAGGTGGTTTACCCCCTGTCCTGTGGCTGGGCCAACCGTGTCCCATCGGGCACAGCCACACAGGGAGGGCACCTTGCGGAGGCCAATGGGCTTGTGACCAGACCGGGAAATCAGTGAGATTTTTGGCTCTTCTGGATGTTTGGTGATGCCGGGAAGTGTTGGCGGTGGAGACCCCTGGGAGGAGGGGGGGGGAGCGCCCTTTGCCCATGGTCTGGTGGGCGGGAGCATGCAAAAGCCAAAGGCCGCTTCGGCCGGGCCCCCCTGGCGCCTTTGGGGCCAAAAGGCCATCGTTGTGGTCTCGGCCGCCCCCCTTGGCTAATCCGCCTTTGCAACCCCCAGAGGGCTTTGGTGGCGGGGCAAGCTGACCACCATTCGTCGCTGGAGAGACCAGGATAGGCCAAGGCGACTCATAGAAATAGCACAGATGGGAGGGGGCTAGACTAGAAGACCTCCAAGGTCCCTTCCAGCTCATTATCCCTTCCTTCCGTTATAATCAGGCCAGTTTGGCGGGATTGGGGAAGGGCGACTGAGGCTGATCCCGTCCCCACCAGGAGCCCCGTGCCTCCTGCCCCTGCCGGCCTTCCTATGGGGTCCGGCCTGATCCGCTCTGCGACCCCGGCCTCTTGTCCTGCGGCTGGACCAAGGCTGGAAGCGCGTGGGCGGCCTCTGGCGGCCTATCCCGGGACTGCAGCCAGACGCAGGCTTGCGGCTGTGGCAGCGCTCTCGGGCGGGGGCAGGTCGACGGGGGACAAAGGACCCTCGTGGAAGCAGAGCGGGACCCCTGGGGGGCTTCCTCAGCCTGGCCCGGCCTGCAGTTCTGCATCTGCTGGTGGGGAGGCCGGAGGGAAGCCCTCTGCACATGCTTTAGGGCAGAGGTCTCCAACCGTGGCCACTTTAAGCCTGGAGGACTTCAACTCCCAGAATTCCCCAGCCAGCTGCCTGGGGAATTCTGGGAGTTGAAGTCCTCCAGGCTTAAAGTGGCCAAGGTTGGAGACCCCTGCTTTAGAGGTTGCAGAGGCAATCTGTTCGTGCTCAGGGGATGCATTTGGGAGCAAGTGGGGTGATGCACTCCGTCCATGCTCAGGTGCACCGCGCCGGGATGTCCTGATGGACTCTGGCTCAATGATGAGGCTTGTTTGCCCCGCCTTCTGCGATTCCTATTGGCCGAGGTCGGTGCCCCTCTAATTCGAATATTTTTCCCGCCTTTCACAGCTTGTCAATCCCTGCGTTGGAAACTGAGCGCCCGATTGGTCGGCCGCCATATCTCCCGCCTCCGAGGGATCGCCCGGTGATTCGGTACGAGGATCGCGGCTCCTCCCCGTGGGCGGGGAATAATGAAGCGAGGGGGCGGAGGAGGCGGCGGCCATTTTGGCTCTCCGCTGACAGGGGCAGGCGAGCGGGAAAGAGGGCGCCGGCCGTGCCTGGCCCTAGCGCTTCTACCCTCGCCTTCCTCGGGCCGCCGGGCTCGGCTCCTCGCGCCTCGCCATGTCGGACACGCGTGGCGGCAATGACAGCCGTCCCGACGAGACCGGCGTCGAGAAACAGGTGAGGGCGGGGAGGGGCCGAGGAGCCCTGGTGGGGGAAGTGTGCAGAACGGGCGGCGTGGATTGGTCTGCAGCTCCGCCACTCGGCGCCGAGCTGCCCCCTGATTGGCTAAACCCTAGGAATGCCCGGGGGCTCATTGGTCGGCGCGCTCTCCGGTGTTCGGGCCCGTGGGCGGGGCGGGGGAGCGATCATAGAGAGGAGCGAGCGCGGCTACCCGCAGCCCGAACTTCCGGTTTGGAATTGCTTCCCCCTCTTGACCGCGCATCTTTATGGTGAGTACCCTTGATGGGGAAAGTCGCGCGTGGGAAGCCGGCCAGTTGCGTGTCGAGCGACCCGAGCCGCCTCTTGAAAGCGCAGCGCCTCCTCTGTCGCCTTGCGGAAGGACATGAACTCCCCTCCCCTGGCGGGGGATGATGGGCCCTGCCGTGCATCCCCGCTGGGTGGTGATTCGGTCTCTTCCTGGACACGGCTGGCTGGGGAATTCTGGGAGTCCACCGGCAGTAAAGAGGCCACAGCTGCCCGCCAGTCCTCCCCCCACCCACAGGGTTGGCCCCAAAGAGAGAAAGACCTTCAGCCTTCAACTCCCAGAATTCCCCAGATGAGCCTTGGGTGGAGTTCACTTCCTGGAATTGGCCAGGGGGGATTCTGCGAGTTGAAGTCCGCGCCTCTTTCAAGGGGTTGAAGTTGGGAGGCGCTGCGGTAGACCTGGCCCGACTTTTTCTCCCCGGCTGAGTAGAGCATCTTAACCGGACAACAGAGCCGGAAAGGGGCCTTGGAGGTCATCCAGTACAACCCCCTGCTCAGAATACAGAATAATACAGTCGGAAGGGACTTGGGAGGTCCTCTAGTCCACCCCCCTGCTCAAGCAGGAGACCTAAGCTCATTCCAGGTCCAGGCTCTTCTTGAAAACCCGCAGCTTCTGGTGGTGAGCTGTCCCACTGGTTAATTCTCCTAAGCTTCGGCAGCAGCTTAGATAACAGTTTGGCACCTGGGGGCAGCGGGGTGGGAGTTGGGTGAGACCCTCCCTAGCAGCCCCCCCCCCCCCCCCATGTCTGCTGCCCTATGTGGTTGGCTGAACTCCTTGCCCCAAAGGCTTCCACTTCAAGCGAAGAAGAGACGTCGCAGCTGATGTGGCCCATTAGGCCGCTCCAAATAAACCTCGAGGGGCTGGCATCCCTGCAACGCTCACCCTGGCAAGGTTCGGTTTCAGGCAAGAATAACTGACAGGGCATCCGGCTTGGCAGCAACAGCGCCGGCAGCAGAGATGACAATGTAAGGAGTGAGCATCTGAAAATAATACCAGGACGAGATCCAGCTATTGTAATGAGAAGAATCTGTTTTGAAAACAAAACAAAACCCACAGACACATACACACCGCGGAAGCTCGTTTGAGATCAGCCCAACCCTATAAGCAATATATTACTGTCTTTTGTTTTTTTAAAAAAAGTTATTGTTTTAATGATCTTTTTATTTGCTGCTCTGTGACAGTCATAAAAGGTGGATTGATTGAGATCAGCACAATCTCTTCCAGTGTTATCTTAGGAGAGGCTGGCATGGCTTAAAGAAAAGATAAAATTCTTCTAGGGGTGGAAGAAAGTTCAGGAATGTAGGATTGGCTCTCAGATAAGAGTTTGAAAAGTGTGACAGTCTTTTTTTTTTTCTTTTTACCCCGTCCAGTCATTTATTTATTCTCTTTTGGTTCCTGTTCATCAGCATTCTAGAAATATCTAGCTGGCCCAGGAAGAGGAAGGTCTGGCGCTTCCAGAACGTAGAAGAAACAGGGGTGGATTAGCGGGTGAGAGTCAACGGAAGTGCCTCCTAAGGCTTAATGCACTGAGGCAGATATTACGAATTTTTTAAAAGCTTTATTCTTTAGTGTTGTGCTTTGAACTCCCTTCAAAGAGCTGGGAGATGGCTCTTTTGATACACCAAGAATTTTCTGTCCCTTCAGAGCTTAATGGCTGTTCTTGATTATTATTATTATTTTGGGGTGCCTTGCTTTCTTTCAGGACACGCAGGAAAAGGAAACGGGCATCCCCGAGAAAGAAGAGGAGGCCAAATTAAAAGCCAAATATCCCAACATAGGACTACAGAAGCCCGGAGGTTCTGACTTCTTAATGAAGAGGCTGCAGAAAGGGGTAGGTGAGCCCCCAGAGACCCCACTCCTGAAAGCAGTCTAGGGAAAGGAACCAAAACCCGGCTGGGTGGCAGCTGATAGAGTGAATGGGTGGCTGCCTTGCCTTGTGGAGTGCCTGGGGCCGGAAGCGTGCCTTGCTAAGACTCTTGGTGGCTGCTTGCAGGATTCCCACCCGCTGGGAAAACCTCCGTTTGAAAGGAATAGGTTGGAAGCTTCTCTGGAGTTTCTGCTGTTTTCTGGCAAAGCCTGCCCATATTTTGCCCTGAATGTAACCAGATCAGTCCCTCTGTGGCACATGGGAGCAGCAGAGGGGAGGAGAGCACCGGTCGGTGCCTAGGTGGGCTAGGGCAGGGGTCTGCAACATTGGTCACTTGTGGACTTCATCTCCCAGAATTCCCCAACCCTGGGCTAAAGGAAACAACAGGCCACCAATTGGAGGCAGGGCCCATTGGGAGGAATTGGTGGCCGCAGCTGTTACTTGGGGAAAAGGGCAGCGGGAGGGGACAAGAGGTTGGCATCTAGACGGGCCTACCTTGTGCCAAGTGGCAGCTCAAAATCCTCTCTTTGGGCCTCCCCAGGGGCCTCTCCTTGGGCCGCCATTTGCGGTGGCTTCTCCATCCTTTGGGACCCCAATCTAACCCCGTGTTTTCTTCTATCAGCAAAAGTACTTTGACTCCGGAGATTACAACATGGCCAAAGCCAAAATCAAGAACAAGCAGCTGCCAACAGCGGGTACCGACAAGAACCTGGTGACCGGTGACCACATCCCCACGCCCCAGGATCTCCCCCAGAGAAAATCGTCCCTCGTCACCAGCAAGCTGGCAGGGTAACCTGCTCTCCTGAAGGGATTTCTCTCTCTCTTTCTCTCTCTCTCTCTCTCTCTCTTCCATTTGGGGGTTTGGGGAATTGGGTTGGTTGTTTTTATTTTCTCCGTTGTCAGACTGAACTGAACTCTGCTGTACCCCAGAGCTGGGACGCACAGAACCTCCACTGTGGTGGGTCTCTCTCTAGTAATCAAAGCCAGAAGCCAAGACATGGACTTGTGTGCCGTTCTGGTGTGTGTTTTCTTGCTGCTGCGGGTGGGCAGGCTGTGCGGCATGGATTCTCTGGGGGTGGGGCCGACACCCGCTTTGCTTTAGATCGCCAACGCTCTGTCCTGTCCGTTCATCCTTCATCGCTGGCTCCGGAAGGGGCAGGAAGGCTACAAAGGGGAGCCGAAAGAGGCCGGTGCGGAGTCAAAATGGTGGCTCCGTGCCGTTAGGACGACGAGACCCATCCGCAACAACCACGGGCTGCACGGCCTCCAGCGATCCGAAACGCCCACGAGCCGCCTCACCTTGAGGGAAGAGGGCTTTGCGGGCAGAATCTCAACAACTCGGGGTTGTGCTTCCCCTTCTAGAAAGCCGGTTGAGGGAGAGGCAGGGCCCTTCCAAGGCCCTGGAGAAGCTGTTTAGCAGGGCTCGGAGCTTACAGGCAGAAACGTCTTCCAGACTTAGAAGCTCTTCCCGGGAACGTCGTCCGATGCCGGCTGCCAGGTCCGACCTCCCCTGGATCTGCAGCGAAGCCCTGAAGGCCCCTGGTTGACAGAAACCAGGACGTGCCTTCGGGTCAAGCCCTCCCAGGCCTCAAGTCCAGGCACCTGGCCGGATTTGAAAGGGCTCGCCCCTTCCTCTCCGCTGTTTGCCACGGCCTCTCAGACCAGGGGGGTGCGGATCTTCCGACGTGGTGTAAACATGCCTGCGTGGAGGAGCCCTTTTGGAAAGAGACGCGGGATGTGAAATCCTCTCGGGACGGGAAAAAGAGATCTGGGGGAATCGTCTTGGGAGTGGATCATGGGCGCTCGGCCGGCTGCTCGTGCTGCCTGGCCAACGGCTGGCCGGTCTTGTCTCAAGGGCGGGCGCCTGGCCCACGCCCCCCTCGGAAACTCAGCCCTTGGGAGCCCCGGAGGCAGCGGATGCCCAGCGGATGGCGGGTCAAAGCAGGAGGAAGGGCCGACGCCGTGGGGAGCTAAGGAGTCCGAATTCTGAAGGGGAGGCGCTGAGGGATGACCGGAGGTTTGGCTTAGTGAAACGCACCGCCTTCGATTCGCGACGGGGAGATGATCTTTGCCTGCCTTTAAAAAAGAGGAGTATTTACAGCAGGGGCATCCCATTTCCGCCACTTGATAAAGACGGGGGGGGGGGGGGGGGGGGGGCCCCCGGGGCGCCGCGGGGGGGGGGGGGGGGGGGGGGGGGGGGCTTCGGCTCCCGGGATCCCTCAGCCAGCTGCGGAATTCTGGGAGTTAAAGTCCACCCGTCTTAAAAGTGGCCAAGGCTGGACACCCCTAACTTAAAGCACCCAGGATGATTCCAACAGTGTTTTCCCTTCGATCAGCGGAATAAAGAGAGAAACCTACAACTTTGAAGAGGGAATTCTCCTCCCCCCCCCTCCCCCCCCCCCCGCCCACCCCAGTTGTCAATTAAGACGGCTGGATGCAGAAATCAAAGGGATGAACCGACCGCAGGATCCTCTGGGCAGCCCAAGGGAATGACCTCCAAGGTCCCTTCCAACTCTGTTAGATTAGAAAGCAGGTCCCCTCGCTTAGTGTCCCCCCCCCAACCCTTTGGAATTTGGGGAGCTCCGGGGGGGGCCTTCCCAAGAGCCCATCTTGGGGCCGGCCTGGCTATTTGGGTGTGTGTGTGTGTGTGTGTGGTCTCCAGGGAGGTTGCGAGAAAAAAATTGGAGGTTATCCGAGGGGCTGGGCGAGGAACAACCAGAGCAGGGGTCCTCTTGAGGTCCGCCGGCCGCCCTTCCCCGCTCTCTGTCCTCCGTCTGCGTTCCTCGCTTTCTCTCCCAAAGAGAATAAAAATCCTGCGTTTTGGAAGTGGGAGCGTCCCCTCTCTGCCACGGAGCTCGGTGGGTCGCAACACGGAAGAGGGTCCCCTTGATCAGCCTCCCCCCCCCCACATCCTGCTGGGTGGTCCGTGGGGGCACCGAGTAGGGTCTCTGCTTCCCGCTATTTATGCCCAAAGGCGCAGCTGCTTCCTCCGAAGCCCTGTGGTGCTTCGAGACCCCCGCAGAGCGGAGCCCCCCGAGCCGGCCGTCTGTCCCAGCCATACTGTAAATAGGACCCAAGTCTGTCTCTCTCACATATATATATATATATTTTCATTGTCTTCATCCTTCTGGTGCTTGCTTTTTTCTAAGAAAACCAAAAAACAAATTGCAAACCCCCCCCCCCAACAAAATATGACCGTGCACACATAATTCTCCCCCCCCCTCTCTCTCCCAGCTTCCAAATCAGGGGTGCCCCCTCTGCCCTCCTCTTCCTCCTTCCCGCAAACCAAGCTGGGTGCTTCAGAGCTGCTGCTTGACAAGGCGGGCAGGGGAGGGAATTGTGTGCTCTGGCTTTTGGCGACCAGCAATTCCCAGGGTGGCTGGTGGGCTGTGACAAAGAAAGCGGGGGGGGGGGGGGGGGGCCCGGGGGGGGGGGTTGGGGGGGAGAAACCCTTTTGAGAAAAAAAAAAACCCCTTTTTTCAACCGCGGGTGCCGGTGTTGGGTGGGGGGCCCTTTTTGGGGGGGGGGGGGAGGGGGCGCCGATCCCGGTTAGCTGGTGCTAACGTGGTTTACTGGGTTGCTTTTCACTTCGGGCATTTGTGCGAACCACTGTGGTTCGCCAAACGTGGCTTGGAGGCTTAGCGAGTTGTGCGAAGCCTGGTTTGCTCTCTGGCTAACTCGACAAATCCAAGGTTAGAGGGTGGCACAGCCGGGTGTACGTTTCGCTGGCTTCCGTCATTAAATACCTGCTTCTATCTTAATTTTAACCCCTGCCTCCAGGGTGGAGTCTCCCCACTTGGCCCCCCCCACTTGGAAACGTATGGACTTCAACTCCCAGAATCCCCCAGGCGGAGCCATTCAGGGCGTTGACGTCTACTCAGAGGAAGAGGAATTGGGGGGGCGCAGGCCATGGCCTTGTGTGAAGGGGGCTTGCTGGCCGTGCCGTTCCCTCCTCGGCCATGGGGGGGTGGACGAGGCCTTCCAGTTCACCCACTCGCAGATCAAGAGGGGGAGGAACCCAGCCCGGACTTGGACGGCCCCCCCCTCTGCATTTCCAAAGGTTGAGATCATTGCAAAGCGTGGGAATGGCAAGCGGGGAAGGGAGAGGAGCCCCAGAGCATTGTGGGAAGGGCTGGACTGCTGGGTTTGTTTGCTGCCGGGGCTGGGCCAAAGCCCCTTCCCCAACACACCCACCCCACCCCGGTGCAAATTCGGAGCTTGCTGGGGTGTGTGTGTGTGTGTGTGCTTTCCTGGGGAGCCTGCCAAAGTGTCCCATCGAGGGACGCTCAGGCTCCCCTCCCAAAATCTCCTCTGAAAATCCCCTCCAAGGTTTGTGTTTTCTTAGCTGGGCTCGGCCGGCCACCCGTGTTTTCAGTATCAACCTGGCTTGTTTGCTTTGGAAGGTTTTAATTGCTGTTTTCCTTTTCCCCCAGGTGCCTCCTGGGGCTGGGCTGTTTACCTGGCTTCAGGGCACCACTTGGCGGTTCCTTTGCGGGTGGAGGGTCAGAGGCCAGAGGGGACGCTTGCTGGAAGGGGTGCCGGGCACACAGTCTGGCCGGAAGAGGGGAGGAAAGGGCTCCTGGGTTTAGGCTGATCGGCCTGCCTTCCTCTCCCCCCTCCTTCAGGGCAGCCCTAAATTGCTCCTGCTTAGCATATTAGGAGCCTCTGGGGTGCAGTTGCAAACTACTTCTTCTTCTACACCCCCTAGCCTCTGGGGTGCAGCACTACAAACTACTTCTGCTGACTGCCAGCCGCCTACAATTTGGTGGTTCAGATCCCACCAGGCTCAAGGTTGACTCAGCCTTCCGTCCTTCCGAGGTGGGTCAAATGAGGAGGACCCAGATGGTTGGGGCTGGCAAGAGGCTGACTCTGTAAACCACTTAGAATATAAGTCTGAATGCTGTTGCTTCTTTGATCCGGAGCACTCGGATTCCCACGATGCACGGCTGCCCTGGCCGACTTGCATGGTTCTCCCATCTTTGGGGGCAGAGTCCCGGCTTTCTTGTGGATTTGATTTCGGCCCGAATTGATCCCCTGAGAAAAGTTTTTTTCATCTGTGTCGGCAGCTCGTTCAGTAAGACTGAGAGGTCGGAATATTGCCAGGTCTCCGTCCCTCGATTGTCCGCCTAACCCTTTGCCCAAATCTCAGGTGAGAAGCTGGAACGGAGGTCAGGCGGACATAGCGGAGGATTCTGGGCTAAAGAAACACTGGCATCTTGGTGTTTCTTTGGTCTAAAACAAGGATGTCCCACCTTGGCCCCTTTCAAAGACAGGTGGACTTCAACTCCCAGAATTCCCCAGCCAGTGTGGCTGGCTGGGGGATTCTGGGAGTTGAAGTCCACCTGTCTTTGAAAGGGGCCAAGGTTGGACCCAACTCCTGGTCTAAAGTCTTCTACTTCTGGATCCCTCCTCTCTTGACTTTTAACACCAGGGCCACAGGGGGAAGTCCCCTTGGGGGCTCTCTTGGTGAGAAATCTGGGGCAGGACCTCTTTTGGAAAGTCGCTTCTCTCACCCCACCCACTCACCCCTTTGATGTGGCAGAGGAGGAGAAGGTGGGGACAGTCCGGCCAGGAAAAACACCAGGGGCGGGGGGCTTGTTACGGAAAGCCCCCCCCCCCGCCCCCAGCTTTCAAATCCTGCCAAAAGCCGTAGAGCAAAGCAAGATTGACGGTAAAGGTGATCTTTTTTTTTTTTCCCATTGAAGAAATGAGGACTAGAAACTTGGGCCACCCCATTCTGACGAAACCCAAGAATCGTCCCGTCAAGTTTCTTTCTTTAAAAACAAAAACAAAACTCGTGCGGTTTTTGGCCTTTGGGGTTGTGTCCTTAATAAATGTCGGTGGTGTGGTGTGCTGACGTTTGGGTGAACTGAGAGTTATCCTCGGTGCGTGATTGACACTGTTTTGGGCACCGTGTCAGCGGTTTTAGGGCTGGGACGTTGTATTGCTGACATCTGAAGACAAGATGTACTTTTCCTGAAGCTGTTTTCTTCCTCTTTCTTAAGTCCTCCGTCACCATAGATTTCTTACATCACCTCCAGGGATTGGTCGCTACGGGATTATGTAATGGGGATGTAGGTCGGGTAACCAGGTTGGCTCCCTGTTCTGAGTCGGGGGGGGGGGAGTGTGAGTGGGTGGACTTTGAACAGAGATGGGCCTGTGTGCTCAGGATTTCACTTTTAAAATTCCATTTTCTCTCCAGTTTGTATTTTTCCTTTTCCCATCAGTGGAAATGGCTTTAGTGAAGGGAGGGAATTTTCAGTGACTTAACATGACGCTGTTTTCAAAGACTCTGGCTGGTTTACAAGAGAAACACAGGGACCTCTGTAAAAATTAATCCCACCTCTGCAGAATACAAGCCCCTTCTTTCTTTAAAGGCTGGGGGGTCTCCAGGAAAACAGGCGAGGAAGAGACCGCCTCACATATATGAGGCAGACCACCGGCGCCTGTCTTTCAGGGCAAAAATCGGTCTGCTTTGGCTCAGTGTGGGGAGGATGGTTTGGGTCAGGCCTTTTTTGAGTTTTTTTTTTGTTGACGCTCTTTTGATGTAAACCTTTAAAAATACATTTTCCCATAACGTCATTCGGGGAAGGAAAAAACACTACTTTTAAGCAGTTTTTTTTTTGAAACCTGCTTTTCTTTACCGAGGTTTGAAATGGGCCAAACGCCGTCCCTGGTCCCTAAGGCTTTGGAAGGGGTGATTTCATTCTCGTTATCCTTGGCCAAACCCAGGCCTCCCTCCGCGTGGGTTGGTCTAGACAACCCCAAACGGCTTCGTCTGGGGAACATTTGCCCCGGTGATGTCACGGTGGGGGGTGATCCTATTTGTGGGCTGGTCAGCCCTGGGTCCCTGCGAAGGAGTCAGCTGCTGCGTGGGGATTGCACAAACTTTTGAAATCTGTCATTTGCCCTGAGGCTGCGTCGGACATCCTGTTATGCTGCAGAAAGATGCTGAGCTTTTCCTTTTGCCAGCCAGGCAGGGCCGTTTCTGCTGAATTCTACTCAAGAATGGTTATTTATTGCTATCCTCTTTTGTTTTTCCTGTAAATCAGGCAGCGAACGTATCCAGTACCCCCTTCCTCCTGTTTTCCTTAACCACAACAGCCCTGGGAGGTGGGCTGGGCCAGGAGAGAGGGAATTGGCTCAGAGGTCACCCAGCTGGCATTCATGCCTAAAGTGGGACTACAACACCCATCATCTTTTGGCTGATTTGAGGTTCGGCTTGATGTCCATCCCGCAGGAAGGGGTGGCTCTCGTCAGGGTACTTTGTGGGGCATATTCGGGGTGGGGCGGGGGGGCATTTGCCAGCCAGCATTAACCCAGATCCAAAACTGGCCTGGAGGATTCAGGGTGGAACGGAGGGGGGACCCCAGACCTCTGCCTTGCAGGAGGAGGGGGGACTCCCCAAGAGCATCTAGCCCAGGGCTGTCCAAGTTTGGCCTCTTTTAAGGCCGGTGGACTTCAACTCCCAGAATTCCTCCTGTGTGGCCCGCTGGGGAATCCTGGGACTTGAACTCCAACCGGTCTTAAAAGCGGCCAAGCTTGGACAGCCCTGGGCTAGTCCGGAGGAGACCGACCCCCCCTCCCTTGGCGAGGAGGGGGAGTCGGGGTCAATCCAGGACGCTCCCCCCGTCCCCTTTTGCTTCCCCTCCGAGGTCCCGCAGGACGCTTCCATTCTTTTCTTTCTCCCCCCCCCCCCCCCCCCCCCTTTTCCCAAAGCCAAAATGCGCCCGTCCATCCTGGCTGGGAAGATGAAAGGGGGAAATCCGAGCCCGTCTCTGATTGGCTACCCAGAATTTTTCCCCTTTCCCCCCCCCTCCCTCAACCCAGGAGGAGCCCCCGCCCTTCCTTCGCTCTCTCCTCTCGCTCCAATCGCCTCTTCGTCTGCGTGGCCCCGCCCCCTTCCGCCGGCGTCGCCCGTTGACGTCAACGCGCGGGCGGCATTTATAACGGGCGCTCCGTGCGCGTGCCACTCCCCTCCTCAGGACGAAGCCGTCACTCGAGGCCGGCCGCCATGTTCAACAAGAAGACGATGGTGCTCTATTGCGGCGGCTCCCCAGGATTGGCACCGGCCGCCCCTCAGTCCCCCGGAGGCGGAGGCGGCGGCGGCGGAGGAGGCGGCGGAGGAGGAGGCGAGGGCAGCCTGGCTCTCCTCCCCGGCGGCGTTCGAGGAGCCCTGAGCGGGGGGCTGTGCTGGCCTCCCGCCGGCTGCGCTGAGGGGCCTCGAGCGCTGATTGGCGGAGGGTCGCGCGCAGGGCCCCTCTCGCTGATTGGGCCCCCGGACGCGGCCGCGCGCGCGCTGATTGGCCAGGAGGCGCCGCCGGCGACCCCCGAAGAGGAGCTGGACGGCTGCGAGCCCGAGGCGGAGACCGGAGCGGAGCCTTCCGCCGCCTCTTCCTCTTCCTCCGCCCCGCCGTCGCCCGGGGACCCGCTGCGCCAGGTGACGCTGCAGCTGGTGGCCTCGTACCTGCGAGAGGCGGCCGACCAGGAGCCCCCCAAGCAGGACGGCTGCGGCGGCGGGAAGTTCCTGCAGGGCCTGCTGGGCCGCTTCGGTCCCTGCCCCGCCGAGGCGGAGACGGCGGCTCGGGCCCTGGAGACGTTGCGGAGGGTCTGCGACGACATCATGGAGAAGCACCAGCTGGCCTTCCAAGGTGGGCGGCTAACCCCCCCCCTTCCCCGGTACTCCCCCCCCCTTAGTGCTGCATTGGTGCTCCTGATGGGGCTTGTAGTCCAAGAGGGGGTCTCCCCCTCGCAGCGGATGCGTGCAAATACTGAGGAAGTGCCCTGCAAGCAGGATGGGCCTAGTTCGCCCCCACCATGGGATTGCAGGGGTGCGAATATTAAACTGCAACATAAACAGAAGTCTAGTCTACTTAGCCCCCCACCCAAAAGGGAAGCAAATATTGAGAAACTGCAATGCAAACAGAGTGGTCTAGTAAACCCCCCCCCCCCCCAAAAAAAAAGGACAGCAAGCAAGGAGTATTGAGGATGGGATTTGGGGAGGGGGCAACTATTGAGAAAGTGCCATGCACCCAGAGGGTTGGTCTACCCCACCCTGAAAAAAAAGGGGGTTCCTCCATCCCGAAAAAGCATCAAACTGCAATAGAAGGCTAGTCTAGTTAGCCCCCTCCCCCCCCAACAAAAGGGCAGCAAGGAGGGAGGATTGGGGATGGGATT